AGGCAGGTATTAAATCTGTCAAGGGTCACCTGGTGCGACTAGTGGGGGACCAAATTCTCACATATGAAGAATTCTATACAGTGCTTGTGTCCATAGAAAGTGTTCTTAATTCGCGCCCATTATGCCCAATAAGCTTGATCCTAACGATCTCAATGTGTTAACCCCCGGACATTTTCTTAATCTCAAACCTTTAAACGCGTTTCCTGAACCTAATCTGTCGGATATTAAATTAAATACACTTTCTCGGTGGCAGTTAATGAAGCGCTTGCACCAAGATTTCTGGCGGCGCTGGCATACGGAGTACTTACATACTTTAATGCAAAGAAGTAAGTGGTACGATCCGGCGGTTCCAATCCAAAGCAATACTCTTTTCCTGGTTAAAGAAGAACTTTTACCCCCACTTAAGTGGAAGCTAGGATGTATAATCCAAACACACCCCGGTCGCGATGGCGTGGTTAGGGTTATAATCATTAAAACCGCAACAGGTGCCATAAAAAGACCTGTGTCAAAGGTTTGTCTTTTGCTGCAGTGTTAAACCCTTTTTCTCGTCTCTTCTTTTTTCTTTTTTTTTAATTACGTTAATTTAGTTCTTAGTGTATATATTAATTTCAAACGTGGTGCTAAAATGTACCATTTTGGTGGGCGGTATGTATCGTCCCGATAAGGGAATTATGGGTTATGCTCTTTTTTAAAATTACTATACATAACATTTCACGGTTTTTTCGCGCTCAAAAAAATGACGACTCTTTTTCCTTGCTGCCGAAGACAAAGGTCAAAACTTTAACGATACAAACGGACTCTTTCTCTGATCAACCGTCGAACCGAACGCATCACGGACAATTCCAAGTGTAAAGCAATTAAAAAAGTGCCGGTACGTGTAAAACCCGCGGGTGCAGAGAACCAGCAACCCCCTTCAAGCACCCTTTCGGAGTCGTCATTATACCGTCGCTTTCGAAACTTTATTAAAGGGAAAATCAAAAAATAGCAACCAGCCCAAATACAGTCCACTCAGATTTTCGTACAATATATATATATATATATATATATATATATATATATATATATATATATATATATATATATATATATATATATATATATATATATATATATATATATATATATATATATATATATATATATATATATATATATATATATATATATATATATATATATATATATTCTCACGTATTGATTCACTGGACCGACTGGAATCCTGCAGACGTTTCGCCCAAATCTCACTTGGCATCTTCAATGCTCGCGCTCCGAAAACATTTCGAACACTGGGCAGTCCAGTGGGATGCAGGATTCCAGTCGGAGTTCAACAAGCGAACGGATGATATCCCGGAATATTGTGTCATCATTATATATATATATATATATATATATATATATATATATATATATATATATATATATATATATATATATATATATATATATATATATATATATATATATATATATATATATATATAAAATACTGTGTAAAGAGGCAAAAAAACATAATGCTTACTTACCTCGACTTCATTATCTCTCGTATGTTTCGACTTATTCTTGTCTTTTAAAAACATTAAATATTTATGTCCAAATCAATGAGAGGCGTACAATTGACTTGTTCCTTGAAGTTTCAGTTTCTGGATTCCATATATTCGGAAAACCCCAGAGTTTGGTAGTCAGTATATATATATATATATATATATATATATATATATATATATATATATATATATATATATATATATATATATATATATATATATATATATATATATATATATATATATATATATATATAAACATTAGCACAAACAATATTATTTTTCATTCCATTTTGTTTTGCCTCTGCTGGTTGAAAAATAATACGCAAATTGTTCACGGATCTCTGTTTGCTTTTCTCTCAATTCTCTTTACATTTAAAAATTTTCCTAAGGCTTATTGGAAATGGTTTCATTAAATTCTCCTGTGGAGGAAACGGATCGTCACACACAAACAGAAAAAGTATTGTTCTGTATTGTTGTCTTGGAAGTAGTTTTGCAGGATTTGCAGGATCCCACATTCGCATATAAAAATCAATACTGAAGCAATACTGAAAGCGCCCTTGTAATTATAATATTCACTTCCACTTTTAAAAGGGGCTTGTAGTGCGACATATTTTCCATCAAAATTCCATAATTAAGGGCAACTGGAATCCACTCCTCGGGTGCAGCGGGTAACGGAAAAAATATTTTTGTTCCTGTTAGTATCCGTCGTAGAAAAAATCAGATACACTACTCTGGAGCAAAGTGCCATTTCCTCCAATATGGTCTTTTGCTTTGACACCCGTCTAATAAATATAATTAACAGTTTCATGTCTTTATACAGGGTATTTTTATTTATATCTTTTATTTGAGATATAGGAATTGTTTCTAATGAGGATTCGTCCAACACTCATATAAAACCAAGACAAGAAATCTCTGCTGATTCTCAACTTTACGAATCAGAGCCATTTCGTGTCACCGGCACTTGATATCACCAGAAAAGAAGACGTCGGAGAAGCGCTCCACTCTCTCTGATCCTCAAATAAACGAAGCTTAAAAGCACTAACAGGAATCAAATTAAAAAGGGACAGCTTTTCCGTATATGGCGAACACGTAGCAAATGAGTTAAGAACATGTAATAAACGTAAATAATAAAATCAATTTCCTTCTCCTGGATGCTGGTATGGAATTGCTCTCTACCAATCACAACAACAATTGAAACAAAGGTCAACTTATTTGCCACCAGTATATCTAGTATAAGTTCCTCATCGTACCTATCATCATTTCCGTCGCTACATCCATCACAAAGCGTTCTACGTTCTGTGGAGCCGTAGTGACACTCTACTTGCATTTCAAAACCAACAGGGCGATAACTTTGATTTTTTTTTATCTGGATCTGATCCTTCAAAACTTCTATTAGCGCATCGCATACGTCCAAGATTATAGTATCAATTGTATTGTAGTTGCATCCATTCGAGAGAAGTTATTGAACATGTCGAATATGTGTTCTCTGTTAGCGAATGTATGACTTTCGATTTTTACGGCCTCTTCGTCATAATTTAATTTTTGTTAAATACGTACACGCCAGTACATCATCTTTTTCGTCACTTATTTTGGCCAACGGCAAACACCGAACAAACATTGGAGAAACTAGGTAGGTCAATGTTGACAAACAGTTTGTCGTGTTAAATACAAAAGATGTTTTTTATATAGGACATCTTATATCTATCTCACAGCACCTAACTTTCTTATTTTAAATGGAACACCCTGAATATTATTTAATTTTTGGATTTCTGAGAAAATTTCATGGTAGTTTCAAAGGAACATGAAGGGTTTCCCTATACTTAGTCGCAATAGTTTCTTAGATATTTTGATTAACTAAAGACTTTTTTTTTAAAACGAAACACTAAAATTTTCTTTTGAAAATTGATTTATTGCTTACAGGCTGTCCAAATTTTACCAACTAATTACATCATTTTCCAAGAAGCAAAACTCCGTTTTTCAAAGATAGCGTATGTTATTATTAGGTGTAATGCACAATTTAATTATACATTTGACTTATTATGCCTTTGACTATTCTTAATTGTTTTAAAGGTTTTCTTGTTTTTTCGTGTTTACTATGAAAATTCAATGAAACCCAAAAGTTCTTTCTACTTAACATTGATTTTGAACAAGTTTGGCATACTATTGGCTTTATTTACTTCAAAAGGGTTAAGGAACTCCGGAACTGGTCATCCGAATCACCCTATTTGTAGCTCTTAGATTTTCCACTACAAAGAACTAGGCCTGTATAAAATAGAGATTTGCGGATTATTGAATTTTGTTAAATCCAGTGGTACAGGTTTATTATCAAAATAATACTATAGTTTGTGAATTGTTTGAACAAACATGTGGTTATATATAATGAATGAAGAAATACAAAAATAAGGTAGACCAAAAAAGGCAAAAAATTGAAAATAACGTAATTTCTGATCAAATTTTGAACACCCTGTTTGTACGTTTTTGTATGGCACAAACAAGGCCGATCGATATATAATTGGATTTTGTATCACACCAGACAATATGTACCTTACTGCGTTTAAAATTCGCAGTACAAAAAATACAAATTACAAGTCAAGTATTTTATGTGAAATTTTTATAAGCTGCATCACACGTAAACAAACCAGTTTGCGGAAGAAGTATGTGAGTGATGACGACAAGACGGAAGCGTGTATGATCGAAATACTCAAAATCATTCATTGTTGTTAGAAAGAGTAAAACATAAAAAATTAAAGAATTAGCGAAAATTGGAAAAAACCATAGATTCGGACATATGTAAGATATTTCTTCATTGATAATGTTCTCCTTTGTCTTCATTTGATTCAGGATACCCGGTACAAGCGGTGTTCTGATTTTGAATTCTGACAAACCTCGGGAACTCCATTGGTGTACACAAAAGAAACATGCAATATAGACACATGAATATCCATATATGTATCTAGTAACTACATATGGCAGTAGTGAACTAAAAAACAGATCTATACCCGAAGCTAATGAAAACAAAAGTTACGTTTTATCTTTTTTTTAGAAAATCACTAAGTGTAAATAAGGCTTAATATTAATATTCGAAAGAGAGGCTATACATCAAACAGAGTATCCCAATAATGTTCATCTTTTTAAAAAATTCTACGAGGTTATACGAGAAATTTCCTAGCGAAACTTTTAAAAAGGACACCCAACGCGAATCACATTGTACAAGTAAAATAAGACATTTAAGTAAATATATTGTGCCTCTATATGCTTTTGCAACTAAAAAAATTTTACTTTCCGTCGCCGTCAGATAAAAACGTATCGATAAACTCACCAACAGTTTTTGTATATGTAGAAACAAAACGATTTCAATTAGCGACAACGCAACCTGTAGATTATAATACTTTGCGCATTAAAATGTTCTTCGGAAAGTCTGTACCGTTCAGCTGTGTATTTTTCTTAACTTACCACCAGTCGGCTTCAGCGACCTTCCAAATCATCATCCAAAGCATTAAAGCGGCTTTAGCCGCGACCTGAACGTCGCGGCTCTTCATTGGCGCCGTCGCTATGGCCACCAAACTCTTCGGACTTGGTGTCGACAGACGATAGTTATGGTTTCAATAGAAAATCACCGTAAATACTAGGTCACACCTTGTCTCAACGTTGCTACTTCCGCGGACCGTTTAAGACTGAAGTTGGAACGTTCGAGGGGGGACACAAAAAGCGGGGGCGGTCCCAAACCCCGCCTTTTGGCAGTGTGGTGAGGCTAAGCGCCGCCCGAAAACCACGTGTTGCAGCGTCGTGACGCCGTTATTCTAATCCAAGTAAGTTAGTTAGAGTTAATGCACAAAAGTTTTGAAAAGCACGTGATCAATTCACATATCTGTCGGGTAAATAGTGACAGAACCAAAATCCTTTGGTTGAATTTTTTGGTATCAGCTGGGTATATACAACAAGGCGCTCAGTAAGAAAGTTTATAAATATACAAAAACGCTCCCAAATATTGTTAGGCTGTTTTTCTATACTTTGAGTTTATATTTGGATGTTTAAAATAATTAATGAGCTATTTTTGCGTATTGTTATTGTAAATTAAAATTTTTGTAAAGTTAAACCTAAATCAAAAAACAAATTTGCTCCTTGTATAACATGTAATAAATAGGTACATCATAAATTTCCGTTATTGGTAAAAAATGTCACACGACAAACATTCTATATTTCATTTACCATACACAAAACAATGACATAATGTCTGTGTGGATTATAGATATTTTTCTCCGCCCAACTTGTTTATTAAATCCCTGTTTTTAAATATTTGGTACAGGTTAAACTACTAACAAAAAATACCTTTGAAAGCTGTTATAAACAAATATGGATCACATTAAACTAATATACATATGTTTTAGAGACTAAAAACAAAACTAAACCGGATAAATTCGACAACACTTTTGCTCCATACCTAATTGGGAAATCGTTAGTACAATAATGAATTTTTCAACGAAACTTCCACAAGCTACTGTAATACCATTTATAAATCTTCTCGATTTCTAATGCATCAGTTGTTGATGAACTGAACTTGCTTTTCATCAGTTCATCATCAGGAGTTACCCTGTATATTCCACAAGAGATTATTTAACAATTTGATTTTGTTTTATTTACCACGATACATTGACTTCGGTTTCATTAATGCTTTTATAAAGACATCTATGCGTTCCCAAATTCATGGAAATTGTAAATGTTCGACGTATATCACACCGAAGCCAACAAATTCCTAACGTTTGGGCGGTGCTTTGATATTTCTCTGATTATTTAACTATGCAAGGGCTTTGTGATGTTTTGTTTGACTTCTTTAAGCTGTTTGCTCATAAAGACGGACAGATGGGATATGTTCGTATTTAGATTCGATTTATTTTTTGTAAAGCGCTATCATGACATCCCGTTTATTTTAAAGTATTTGTAAACAACCCTAATAAATTTCAACTATTAGAACAGAGATTTATTTGTTTGTTGTTTGATTTTATATTCGAGACAATTTTTGCCATAAAACTGGAACTCATTGAAAACATAAACCTTTGGAAGTTGGATGCCAAAGCTACTGATGGCAAAAAATTATTGGATTTGACTGTGGTGTGATTGGATTTGATGGGACAGTATGTATTTACATATATGTATATATGTTTATTTAAACTCCCATTTTGTTTATATTGATTGCTTACAAATGTAGAGGCAACCAACCAACATAAAGAAAAGTCTCGAAGTATACTGTACATCAAATGTCCTTAACATTTTGGATTAACTGAGAGGATCCCGGACAAGCGCATCTATATTTGTAATGGCAGTCGAGTGGCTATCCAAGTTCTCGACGCCGGAAAGATGAACTCAGGACTTCTACTTAACAGCCGAGAACATTGAGCAGGTTAGCAATGACAAGGCAGAGTTTTCCGTTGGAATGGCAGACAGCGGGTTGAATAAATGGATTGGAAGGATAGTTCTTTCTGCATTGGTAAATTTGATCGGGACTGAGCCAGTCGAAGATCATCTCTACGCTTCAGAGCTCAAAGTTGATTGTTGAGGTGGACAGGTTACTTGCCACCAATGAAAATGTTATCATACAGTGAAACTTATTTTCAATACCTGATAATATAATGCATTAATCACGGAATTATTTATATACTTTTCCACAGTTAAGGAAGCACGTATACTGTATAAAAATAGCCACATGACATAATGAAAAAAAAATCGTAGCTAGTAATAATCAAATAATGACAACTGTTAAAGTGCGAAAGAGATTTTTATACTATTTAGACTAGTAGCACCATCTAACGTCAAATAGCTGGTTACTTAAAATTTTGAAAAGGATGATTCAGATCTCAATGAATTTATCTTAAGGAAAGATCAGATTGTTATGGCTTATGAACAATATTGTATGGGCCAAAATCAATTGGAGCTCGATCCAGTAAAAGAAAGGGATAGGGAAGACACAGAAAATCGGTATTTCAGTTTATTGGCAAAAATTTGCAGTTTTAATAAAGGGCTAGTAAATCGCACAATAATGTTTCAATTTCTTCAGGTAGTGATTTAAGTCAAAACATTTCAATAAAACATTTACAACACAATCTGAATGATTCGACAATTGTAACCAAATTTATTATTATTCATTTGCCTAAATGTTCGAGGAAATATGAGAATGGTTTTATAGATTTATTTTCTACTATAATTGACAAAAATGAGCAACTATCAAAAGCACAAAAATTAGCGTATTTAAAAACTTCCTTCCAAAAGGAGCCACCCACGTTAATTAACAATTTATCGTTATCGGATGGAAATTATAATACTGCTATGAAATTACTTAAAGTTTGTTATGACAATAATTTAGTTATAACAAATTCACACTTAAAAGGCATTTTTGACATTTCTCAGTTATTAAAAGGAAACGCGTTACAACTAAGAACTTGTTTATCTACCATAAGATAACATATAAATTCGTTGCGTCCTTTGAAATTACCCATAGATAGTTGAGCTGTAATTTTTGTTTTTATTGTTACGAAAAAGTTAGACTTTTAGACACAAAAATGGTACGAATTTCAGACAGATTAAAAAACGTTGCGCAGTTTAGAATTGCTATTTCAAACACAAATAAGTATGGGCAGACAAAAAAATTGGGTGTTTGTATTGTAAATTGGACAATCAAATGAAATGTTCAAAATTTCTGACAGTTTCGCTAGAACAAAAGCGTGAATTTTTATTATTATTATTATTATTATTACAAAGAATAAAGTGCAGAGGAAAACCTATTATGCACATTGATAGTTAGTAACATAATACATATAATCAATATTTAGTTATTGCTGTGAAACAATACACTGTCCAAGCGACGTTTAAATACAGACAAGTTCAGCGCACACACAACATCTGGGGGTAAACTGTTCCAATAATCAAAAGTCCTGTTACTTATAAAATGCAGGCAATGTGAAGTCCTGAATTGTTCCTTCCTTATTTTAAATGGATGACCACGTAGGCGTTCATCATTGCTTAAGACCACAAGGGGCACGTCAGATGGAAATTGGTCATGCGTAAACCTATACATTTGGATGAGATCCTCTCGCAGCCGACGCTGACTCAATGTTGGCAGACTAAGTATTTTGAGACGGTCATCGTATCGTATGGTCTATGTTTAAGCTGAAGTGGCCAGCGCGTAGCGTTGCACTCTTTTCAGAACATCACAGTCTAGCCATGGGTTCCAGACTGGGGAAGCAAATTCCAGGATGGGGCGAATGTAAGTGGTGAAAAGCCTGCAAGCGATGCGAGGACTAGGATTTTTTAAAGTCTTTTTTAACAAAAATAAAGCGCAGTTTGCTGAAGTCGAGGTAAATAATATCCACCGGATTACCTGAGTCAAGAGATGATGTCCAGTGATTCAAGCATGTCAATGTATTTGACATGACAGATCTGCTGGGAACAAAGCCATGCTGCGATGTAGGTATAATATGGCAGTCGATCAAAAACGGTAGCAGCTGATTTACTATAAGGCGTTCAAGAACCTTACATATAATACACACAAGACTGATAGGGCGGTAATTTGAAACATCGAGCTTATCACCCTTTTTATAAATCGGTGTTACATTTGCGGATAACCAGTGGGTTGGGAGTGTGGCAGAGTCCAAAGATTTTCTCAAAATAATATAAATAGGCTCTGCAAGCACAGGGGCACACGCTTTTAAGATATTACTGGAAATTCCATCAGGTCCGATAGCAGAATATTCTTTTATCTCAGAAAGAGTTTTCTTCACGTCCTCTTGGTCAAAGTGAATGTCTTCTAATAAATCTGAATTTATAGGACCCTCATAGTGAGACGGTGGATCAGCTGGTTCATCAGCAAAGACACTTGCAAAATATGAAGCAAATTCATTTGAAATGAAGTCCTGGTTGCAGGAGACCTCTCCCCAGGTATCTCTAATGACAGGAAGGGACACCTTAGAGGATACGTATTGTCTGACATAAGAATAAAACCCTTTGGGCCGATTGAGGAGGTTATTTTCGAATGCTCCAAGGATAAACTATTAGAAACTCTTCTGTGCAAAGCATAATCGGAAGCAGAGCCAGAGGCCTTAAATCTACGCCACAGAGCTCTCTTATGTTTTACTTGTTTGAACAGATGTCCAGTTAACCAAGGTTTCTCAGAATTGAACTTCACAAAATGTAGGTTATGTAACAATTATTTTGGCTCAAGATATTCGAGTTTTGATTGTCTTGTGTGCAAAACAAAACACAACATGCTAATTCATTCGGAAAATCCGCAAAATCAAAATGAAACTAATCAATTCCAAAGCGGGACTTCTCAACAAAAGGAAAGGAAAATATTCAGAAGTTTTGCTAGTCACCGCAATTTTAAATGTAATTACAAAAGCGGGGACAAAAATAGAGCACGAGCGTTAATAGACTTTGCAAGTCAAACACTTGTCATAATAAAAGATTTGTTTTCTCGATTAAACATTAACAGTTATACAGAACGTACTTCTATTGGAGGCATTGATAATTCGGTTACACTATCAATGCTTTGGCCAAACTTAAGGTAGAGGCATTAACACAAACATATCGGTCTCATATGACAAATTTCGCCTTTTTGATTAAAATCACTTAGATTTTACCGCATGCAATATTAGACACACAAGG